CCCACCTGGCCCAAGTCGAAGCGGACCCCCCCCCCCCCCCCCCCCCCCCTCCCCACGCCGTCGGCAATGGCTGCCTCGGAGAAGTCGATGAGCCGCTGCGCCTCATCGTCAAAATCTTCGCGACAGAAGCTGGCGACGGGGCCTGCGAATAAGTCCACCGCGTCTCGGGCCAAGAGCTCGCGGATCCATTTGCCGCGGCGAACCCGCATGAAGAGTCCCAAAAAGGGTCGTGCGTGAGGCGGCTCGCGCACATCGGCGTCGCGTCAGCTTCAGGGCTGCTGACCTTGACCCCGCTGAGCTGGCCCACGCACGACCGATGTTTGACGCGCGCGCTGCGAAGATGTCGCAGCTGCCTGCTGAACGACCTCCCCGCTGTCAATGCTTTGGGATGGTCAGTCTTTCATTCCTTCACCTGCTGCCGCATGCAAACCTGCGCCCCTTCATGCCCATGGAACTGCGGCCGCGCCGACGGGGCGCGGACTCCGCGGCGATCCAAGAGCTCCGTCTCAAGGTCGATGAAGACCTCGCACCAGCACTCTGAAAGACGGGCGAGAGAGTCAGCGCGCGCTGGGCGGCCTGGTACCTGCTGCCATTCGCAGACAGGCGGGATTGGGCCGCAGCCGATCGGGGGGTCGGTCGGGATGGCCTTAGGCTCCACTGGAAGGCGGCATCACATAGCTCTGACCATGCCTGACACTGGTCGGGCCACTGGCAAATGAGGGCACCGCATTGCCGACCGCCGCCGCCCCTGGATGACTGGCCAGCCCATCAGAAACATAACACCAATCACGATGAGTACCTGATGTGGTCTGGACACAGGTGGGATCGATGCTGCTACGCCGAACACCTCGCAGGCCAGCGAGACAGTCATCGACGCCGCCCGCCGGGCCGACGGTCCTATCCGCGCCTATGACCTGACCCGCGCCTGCCCCAGCACAAATAGATCGGGGATGTAGTTCGCGATGTCATTCAAAATCTTACGTTTCTCCCCCGTCAAGGAGACGCCCGCGACAGGGTGGGCGGAAATGCACGCGGCGCTGCCTGCCGCCGCGCAGCGGGCCCCCGCCGCCGCCGCGCGCCCGGGATAGAGAATGGCGCCCTTGAGCGAAGGGGGCTTGGACAGCAGCGCGCGCGACGGCGCCGGCACATCCGCCCCCCCCTTAAATCCGCCGTGGCCCGTGGCCACCGACGGGGCCCAGATGCCGCGCGCGTTGACGTTCTTGCAGCTGCGCTGGGCATCTTCCAGCCGACCAGCATCGCAATGGCGCCCTTGGACCGGGACCGCGCCGCGGCTGCAGTCCGGGGCCCCAAGAAGCTTGATAAGCTGCCCATGCGACGCGGCGTTGATCGCGGTGCGATCGCACTCGACAAGACGGACTTACGCGTGGGAGGTGTCGGGGGCGCCCGGCCCCCGAGGTTCTCCGCCCCGCGGTTAGTTCCAGCCACCGTGCGACTTGAACCCTCGAGACCCTTTTGGCCCAAGCCATTTGGCTCAAGGTGGCGGGGGGCGCCCCGGGCAAATTGTTTGAAACGGCGCCCTCCTGAAACAGTTCACCGAACTTCGACCCAGGCCTGGGCGGCGCTGGAAGCGCGGCGTTCTGCTGACCAGCATCGCCGCGCCATCGTCCAGCATGCTGATCCCAGTCCCCGGCTGAGGTGCGTGTCCACGCGGTGGCGCCAACGCCCCAGCTCTGCCTATCCGCTCAGGGCGTCCCCGACTGCCCGGGCCCCCAGCGGCGCTAGGGCGAGCGCAGGTTGCGCCGGCCACAAGGCCGACGCGCGCAAATGCCGATGAGGACGCGCCTGGGGCAGCAGGGGCCGCGCCCCTCCTCCCGCGGCGGCGGCGGCGGCCGACAGCGGGGGCGCGCCGACAGCAGGCGGCGGCCCCGCGAGGTCTCCCGCGGCCGCGGCCTGCAAGCAGCACTGCGCGAACACCGCGAGGCACGGTGCCACGTTGCTGCTGGCGCGGCTTCTTCTGGGCCCGAGATGCGACGGCGTCACCGAGACTCTTGATTGCCGCGCGGAGCTGCGCCTCCTCGGCAGGAGGCTCGGCGCCGGAGGCGGCCCCGTGGAGCTCCTGAGCTCCTGCAGGTCAGTGCGTCGGCGTCCATGGGGGCGCCGCCCCGCTCAGCCTTGGCGTCGGAAGAGCCAGCGGGACCGACGGGAGGCCCATCGCCAGACTCACCAGCGCCCGCGCCATGGCTGCCGCCTGCCTCGCGGGCGCGGCGCTCCGCCGCAGCCGTGCCGAAAGACCGCAGCTTCTCGATCGCGCGGTGCACGCGGTCGCGCGCGCTCTGCTCCGACCCCAAACTCTCGAGCACATTGCCAACGTCGTCGGTCGACATGTCGATGCCCGAGATGACCGAACGCAGCGAGGGCGAATCATCAGTGCCAAGGCGGGGCACCACAATCGCCGCATCGCGCCTCTGCGCTGCAGCCGCGACCAGTTCACGCGCTACCGACGTCAGCGCTTCACGAGCCTCGCCGGGCTGTGCCTGCACCTCCTTGAGCTTCTGCTCGATCGCCTGCACATGCTCGGCCTGACGATATCGCTTCTTTACCAACGTTTGGCACCTGTTGACCAGCTGGTGGAGCTGGGCCGCCACGGGTTTCTCGCGCAGAACCTTCTCCTCGACTGTTTCGTGCCCCCATACACGGTGCCAGCAGCGGGCCCTTCGCATCGCCAAAGGAGCGGATGTAGGCACCGATCTCACAGGGCTTTGATTTAGACTGGTCCGAAGGCGAGCTCGCGGCATCGGTAGGAAAGGAAACGTCCTGGGCCCCACCTCCTGCACCGACTCCCGCGAAGCCTCGCAACCGCTCGATGTCCTGATCTTTCGCAGCCAGAGCCTTCGGCTGCCTTCGCTTGTCCGCCTGGATGCGCCTCTCCTCAACGAGCGTGGCACTCCGAGTAGACGGACTGTTCGTAGTCTCGCGATGCCCAGCGAAAACCGAGCCCTTTGCCGCCCGACAGATACTGCATGACGGCTTACCCGCATGATTCCACCACCGTGCCCGGTTTCCAGGGTTGACGCACCACTTGCCGCACCACGCTGTCGCACTCGCCCGACGTTTAGGTGCATGGCCGTTCGCAGGGCGAGAGGGACATGACATCCGCTCCTGAGAGCGCACAGAATAACCGAGAGTTGAAATGACGGGACGGGGCAAAACCCAAGTACAATGTGCAATGAGGGCCGCAAGCCCCTCGTGCCAATGCCACACCCTGGGCGTTCACACTGCGGACTTGGACCAAAATGGTTCGAGCCAAAATGGCTACGGAGGGGCGGGCAGAAATGGAACGTAGAGACGGAGGAAAAGGAGGGGAGGGAGGAAAGGTAGGAGAAGTGGGGGGGAGGAGTGGGCGGAGGAGGAGGAGGAGGAGGAGGAGGAGGAGGAGGAGGAGGAGGAGGAGGAGGAGGAGGAGGAGGAGGAGGAGGAGGAGGCGGAGGAGGAGGAGGAGAAGGAGGAGGAGGAGGAGGAGGAGGAGGAGGAGGACGACGGCGTGGGGAGCGGGCGGGAGGGGGGACGGGGCGGCCCCGTGCCCCGCCGCGGGGCGAGACCTGCCAGCTCCCCTGGCCCCGGGGATAGGCAGGCTGTCCGCTGGGGGAGCTGCGGAGCACGGCGCGTGGTGCGTCACTCGCGGCTCCTGCGGAAGGGGGCCCTCTGTCCGACCCCTTCGCCCGCCACGCCGGCAAGGAGAAGGAACTGCAGACACCCCAATTTTCACAGCTCCGCGCACAGCTCTTACACCAGGAGCTCGACCACACGAAACCTGCCACAAGAAACCCAACCCTGAGGCCCCAGGGCGTCCATTGATTTTGGGGGTGGGAACGTCACGCTTTCCACCGCAAAACCGTCGAAACCCAAGAAACCCACGGCCCCCCGGTTCCCACTGTAGATCGGCGCTGGACCTGCCCACCCTGGCGCGCGGAGCGCGCCAAGGGCTGCCGGACGCGCCGACGGTGGGGGTCCAGCGCAGATCCCAGAAATCCGCGCGGAACTCCGAACATGTGTCATGCTTGTGCAGGTTCCTGCTCCTCGACCCCATTCGCCCGCGAAATCCCCGGTAAGAGTTCAGGAATGTTTCTAGTTCGCGCGCGCGTGGCGGCCCCTGGGGGCCCCCCGACGAAACATTCGGGAGCGGCCAAGAGGAGGGTGTCCAAGAGGGGGGGGTACAAATCATGGCCGGCGGCATGTGCGCGGCCCTGGGGGGGGGCCAGGGACGTAATGAACTAAGAAGAGGCGCCAGGGCATCTAGGGAAATATCATGGCCCACGCCATGAGATCCCCCACCCCCTCTCATCACCCCCCTCTTGGCCGCCCCCGAAAAATGTCCCGGCATGGCCCCGTGCCGGAGGTGCCGGGGCTCCTGGCCGCCGTGGACGGCTCAAGAGGCCCCACGATCGCTCCAAGACGGCCCAAATAGCCTCCAAGAGGGCCCCCACATGGCCCACGGCGGCCCCAAAACGGCCCAAGAGGCCTCCAAGACGGCCCCGGGGTGGCACCTAGAGGGGCAGAGCAGGTATTTCGAGCTCTCGGCCCCAAGATGCCCCCAAGAGGCCCCCAAAGAAGCTCCCGAGACCCGCAGCAGGCCCCCAAAAGTCCCACGAGGTCCCTCAGAGCCCCCAAGCCCTCCGAAGAGACCCCAAGAAGCACCCACGAGGACTCTGACCCGCAACCCAAGTACGTCTCGAAACTCTGCAAGAGCTTTCTTGAGCCATCTTGGCGCCCTCTGAGGCAGTTGATCGGCTCTCTTCGACAGGGTGCGAGCCACATCTCCAAAGATCTCAACTAGGACAGCTCAGCCTGCCCTACCGTTCCCCATGCTTGAGAGCACACCACCATGCAGCCACCGTAATGCGAAATGTGCCGGCGGAGCGAGCGAAGACATTCAGTAAAGGGTGGGGATGTAAGATTATATGACAAAAAGCTCTTAAGGGCCTAAACCGCCACCGTGGGCCCAAAAGGTGCACGTTTCTTCACCCCACGTTCATTGCCCCCCGTTAGCGATCACCAGAGACAAATAGAGAGGAGGGTTGTCCGGTACCCTCAGCGCAGCTCCTCCTCCGCTGATGAGAAAAGCTGCGCGTCCCATTTTGTC